TCTAGTGTTCTTTAGTTTTAGCGTTACAGTACAGCATCATGTACAGAATTGTCTACTTTTCTGATACGAGCAGTGTATATGTTGTGTTTTATTTGTAGTATCAGCTTTACTATGTCAGTGTGTACTTTTCTGATACGAGCAGTGTATATAGTGTGTTTTATTTGTAGTATCAGTTTTACTATGTTAGTGTGTTTTTCAGTATTATAGTAATATATTGCATAATATATTGCATAATATGTTGTAATGTGCGGAATTATAAATGTTAGTCTTAAATTTTACTGTTTTTGTTTTACCTTTACCAGTTTTGTATCAATGCAGCTTTGTACTTCTAAGTATTTTTTATTTATTATTATTATTATTTATTTTATTTTTAACCTATACTATCAGGAATGTCATATGTATTCAAGGTAGTCCTTTGTATTCCCTATCTAAATGTGACTCTGTACTTTTTTTTTTTTTAATTTAGACTTAATAAATGTCTGCAGGGCGGACATCATACTGCAAGGGCTTGTTCCCGGTCAGTAATCCTCCTTAGCAGTGTAAAAGTAAAAAAAAAAGTATCGCAAAATAATTTTAAAATGAGCATATCTTTAGAATTTTCGATACACAGTCTCGCGTGCTGGAGATAAAAACATTTTTTAGTCTAAAGGGTCAGTTTGCCCCGAAGGACTAGCTTTGGCATTTTAAGTTGGTTCACTTTTCAAATTGTGGCCAACAAATATTATTACCCTGTGTTATATATAAAGAAATTAAGTAATGAAAAATCTCCATAAATGTATGTATATTTCTCCCACTTAGATAAAACAACGGTACCTAGAGCCATCAAATTTTCAACAACGTAATCAATCTTCTATCGAATATGGTCATCTGGAACCCAAAATTTGGAATTTGTTTTATTATCGATTTCATATTTTGTAACACGTTAACAATTTTTTGATTAACAAATTCAACGATTTCAAAGCGAGCAATAGCACCTCTGCACGGGAAAAAAAAAAAAAAAAAAAAAAATTCTCTCAAGCGCGCGAGACTGTGTATCGAAAATTCTAAAGCTTTGCTCATTTTTAAATTATTTTGCGATGTTTCTGTTGAATTGAATTTTATGGTTTAAGTGCAAAGAACATGATATTTAATAAATAAAGCCTCTTTGGGCGTAATGTAAAATCTGAAAGCTTTCAGATCCCCCCCCCCTCCCCCCGTACAGTGTTTTCATTCCTCGCTTTGAAATCGTTGAGTTTGTTAATCAAGAATTCTTTAATGTCTGACAAAATATGAAATAGATAATAAAACAAATTCCAAATTAGGGCTGCCAGATGCTCCTATTCGGTGGAGGATTACGTTATTCAAAATTTGATGGCGCTAGGTACCGTTGTTTTATCACAACTCGAGAAACATACATATATTTATGCAGATTCTTCATTATTTAATTTTTTTAATATAATACAGGCTGTAATATTTGGCGGCAACAGTTTGAAAAGAGAATCAAGGCAAAATGCCAAAACGAAATTAATAGCCCTTCTGGGCTAAACGCCCTTTGGAGGAAAAATTAAAGGATTGGAAACAACAAAAGAAATAGAATCATAGTAATAAACTTTCGGATCTTTTATGTTATATTACGGTAAGTGCCAAACAGTTTTCTACTGAAAGATAACTAGTGTTCAAAATTAAAAGAGCTTTCACATCTGGTTGATTATCTCCAGAATCGATGGAAAGATTTTAATAAAACTGTATGCGGGCATAAATTGATCAGGTAATATATTTCCTAAAATGACAGTCTTGGGGGGGGATGTGATAGATGCTTACCATGTGTAATTTCCAAACTCTGAGATTTTCAGCTATAGTGTGATATACGTAGTTAAAGTTAATTTGAATTTTATTTTTTGCCTTTTTTGGAAATCTGGTAGCACTGTGATAAAGGTGGACCACTGATTGGTACACTTCGAGAACCACCGACTGAGAAACCCTGGATTAGAAGAAAATGCCAACAAAATACTCGAGGGTTGTAAGCTTCGCTGATGCCTTTGTAGAAGGCTCTCTATTGTAAAATGACGTAATTAAGTTACATATGGTAAAATCACTGCAATCTATGTATCGAACAGGTTTTGTCGCTGGAAAACGACCTAAATTAGCATTTCTCAAGCTGTCCTCAGATCACGATTGGACCTGCCTTTGTAATCTGTCTATATTTCAAAAAAAAAAAAAAAAAAAAAAAAAGTTAACTGGGCCGCTGGACACTGGTAATTCGGTCTGAGGTTCAAATCCCGCGAACAAGCTGACGGCGTGCTCCTTTACCTGGTCCCCCCCATACATAACGTGTGTATATGTGCCAGTTTCCCTTAGAAAGTCCGGCCCACCAGCGGCCGAGCGGTAAAGTCGCTGAACACTGGTAGTTCGGTCCGAGGTTCGAATCCCGCGAACGGGCTGGCTGCATGCGCGTTTTCGTGGTTTTCCCCATGTGTAACGTGTATACGAGCCAGTTTCCCTTAGAAAGTCCTCCACGAAAGGCATCCCTCCCTTTAGGCAGATAGCCCTCGAGGCTTTGCCATAATCACATACACACACACACACACACACACACACCCTTAAAGTCCTCCACAAAGTCATCCTTCTCCTTAGGCAGATAGCTCTGAAGCTGTGCCCCTAAGAGGTTTAATGCATTGCCAAAATCAAATAAGTTATACTATAGCACACTATAGTTGAATATATAGTAAGTATAGCACACTTTAGTTGAAATCTCAGAGTTAAGAAACTACACATAGTAACTGACTATAATTTCCTTTCCCAAAACAGACAGCCCACCAGCGGCCGAACGGTAAAGACGCTGAACACTGTTAGTTCGGTCCGAGGTTCGAATCCCGCGAACGAGCTGGCTGGATGGGCGTTTTCGTGTTTTTCCCCATGTGTAACGTGTATACGAGCCAGTTTCTCTTAGAAAGTCCTCCACGAAGGCGTCCCTCCCTTTAGGCAGATAGCCCTCGTGTGCTTTGCCATAATTGAGTAATCCATCCATCCATCCCAAAACTGACATTTTATGAAATTCATTACCAGTTGCCGTAACTGTGGACTTCGCACTTTAATCTTACCAACAAAAGAGGAATTTGAAGCACTATGATTGCGATACTTCTTGCCAACTCTTCCCATCACAACTTTTGCCGCTGGGCTGAAAACGTGATACAGTGAACTATGCGGTGTTGCTTTAAAAATTATAATTCAGTTTGCGTCTACATCTGCGCCTCTACATCAGATAAGGCTTTCCTCAGCAATTCAAATCAATACGAAGTACTGAAATCGACTTTATTTACGGGCCAATCTCAGGCGTAAACTTACCAGCATACATCCAAGCTTAATATGGCTGTGCAAGAATTGGCAGGCTGATTCATCTCATTAATGCGAAATACCAACATTTATTTAACTTAAATAAATGTTGTTATTATGTTTATAACAACATTTGTTATTATAATGTTTATATTTGTTATTATATTTGTTATTATAATGTTTATATTTGTTATTATATTTGTTATTATAAATGTTGTTAGTTAATAAAGTAAAGATCATCCGAACTGTAATAATTTTCAATGATTAAAAACGAATACGATTGTTCTGTTAATTTAATATCAATCCAAATTTAAGTGTGTAAACCAACGGATTTCAAGCACGTGGTCGTGGCAAGACAGATTTCCGAAAATGGTAAATGGCAACAGTAAAAAATTTTTTGAAGAAAAAGAATTGTAGAAAAGCAGTAATTGATTCTTTCTTTTTATAATGTGAATAATAAAATGTGAATGCACTTTAACAATAAATTATTTTCTATTGTAATACCAAAACGCATGCCTTCAGTGTAATGTTAATTTTAAAGAAGAATAAAATATTTAAGAAGCTAGCAACGGTTAAACTTATGAACCTTTTGTTATAAGAGACTTTAAAATAAATATAATTGTATTTTTAAAATGTAAGTATACTGATTGTAACGTATTCTAAAATATACTTTCAAAGAGACAAGAATAAGGTGTCCCTCGGAACATTCGAATTAATAAAAGTGGTCCCCACTTGAAAAGCGTTTCAGAAATGCTTATCTAAATAAAGCTAAGCCAGAAAGATAGTGTTTTGCAGATTTGTAGCTCTTTTATCTTTCAAAAATTTACATGACGATTGTTATTTAAACTACGTCGATCTGCTCACGAACAGAACGCGAGAGGAGGTACTATTGATCAGAATCCTTAAAACTGTGCCACATGTGTGCAAAATCAGAATAAGAAATGAAATTTCACATTTAGATCAAATTCCCTTTTTTAGAATGAGCGTTTTTGTCAGCTTTAGAATGTTAAATCGCTGTCAAAGAATATTTGTTTCTTCATTCAGTTTCCATCTCAGTCACGTCTTATAAAATCTTTCCTTGGCTTAGCTTTCATAGTCAGATTTACGTGACTGTATTAGTTGATTTGGAATCACGACCATCCTGCTGCTGCAGCAGCTTTTGGCAACTCGGATTGTTAAAATAAACACAGTGCCTGTCACTTGAAGATTCATTTTTCTCAATACTTTTATCCCTTGTTATATATCGTTGCTTGGAACATGTTCTAAAACACCTGTCTTTATTCTGTGCAGCTGTCTTGGTATGCATTTTAAGTAGATATGGATTTCTAGATTCTCAAAGTTAAAGACAGATATCTGAATTAAAATGCTTTTCTTGAATTTCGGCCAAGTAAATGTGTGTGAACTGTTGACTGAGACTCAAAATCTTTTGTTTCGAAGTGTGCTGGTGAAACCATGGGAAACAATTATATTATCTAAATGATCCGTATCTCTAAATTTACATTTGAAGATAAGTTTTGAAATTCAGCTAATATGAAATTGATAAGTCTGATGGGGAAATCTTTTGTACATGAAAAATTAATGTAATATCTATTTTGCGTTTAAGCAAATCAATGAAACGAAAATTATGATTACTTTCATCGTAATCGAAATTAAAAAATTTATTAATATTTATGTTTTCTTTTTTTTAGGAACCTGCTCGACCCGCCTTGACAACGAGTCAAGTAAGAGGTGAGACTCTGAAATTTTTATCTATTCCACTTTTCTTTCTTCTCTTTTTTTAAAAAATACAGTAGAGAATGAGCTCAGGAATATATCCATGTATAAATTTTTACTTCCTTTAGAATATAGCTATGAATTTGTTAATTAAACAGTGTATAAACAAGACATTAACGTATAGTTTGCCTACACATATGTATTATGTATCACGTTACAATTACATATTACTATCACATACAATTACACATATATATTACTAACTTACAAAACGATAAGTTAGTAAATAGAAAATTTAAGAATTAGCAATCATAAAAAAGAGTAAATATATCTTCTGTATTCATAACTTCAAATCGTTTGTTTGTGAGATAAATCTTTTGTATCTCAATATCGACTAATGATGTGTGAAACAGAACAATGTTGAAATCTGTATCGAAATTTTCTTCAACATTGTGGGCCCACCAGCAGCCGAGCGGTAAAGTCGCTGAATACTGGTAGTGTCTGAGGTTCGAATCCCGCGAGCCGGCTGACTGCGTGGGCGTGGGCGTTTACGTGGTTTACCCCATGCGTAACGTGTATACGAGCCAGTTTCCCTTAGAAAGTCATCCATGAAGGCATTCCTCCAGATACTTCTCGATACTTTGCCTTAATCCCACAAATCAATCAACCTTGTGATTTTTCATGCAAGAATGAAGTAGTAATTTGCTTCACGAATACGACGAACATTATTAATTTCGAGTTTCATCTGGTAGTAAAGAAACATTATTTCCGTGAAAAGTGATGAACTTTCACATAATTCTGTAACCACTATGTGAAAGCATGTTTTGCCATTTTTTTTCTTTCGCCATGCAAGATGTTAGTACTCTAGTTCTTTCCTAAGCTAAAGAACTTTCATTAAGTGTTAAAAATAATCAACGATATTTTAACGAAATGATCTCTTCGATGATAATTCCTTATACAAGATTTGATAATAATAGTATGTATGTGGATTAGTAAAGATAGCTACTTGATTTCATGATCTTCAGTGCATCGTGAGTATATTACAGAACTTTTAACTAATGTTAAGATGTTCGTGGTAATTGCATTTTCCCATTGGTAGTCTTTTACATGCCCATACTGAATAATTTTAAGTAGCTACAAGCAAATAAAGAATCACATGTGAAATGTAGTTATTTCTCTAAATGGTATTATACAGTGTAAAGAATAAGTACAATTCTTATTCTATTTTTTAGTTATTGATTAAAAAAGGTTATTCTCATCATCATTTCGGTTATTGCATCAACACAACGCAGTGTACTATACTGTTTACCAAAAAATGATTGTTTATTAGGCATAGTTTAATATCTTCCTTATAACAATATCATTTGTACTAATTAGAAAATAAAACAATAAAATTTGTACAATGAAGAAATAAAAAAATCTCAAAGACTTCAGATTTTATATTACACCCGAAGGGGCGTTTTCGTTATTTACATGCACATACATGTTTCGAAAGCTTTTGGGCTAGTGCCTATTTGCCTAAAAATATTTTAAAACAACATATCTTTAGAATTTCCGGTACTTTTCCATTTCGGCGGCGCAAATCTCGCCAAGCAGACTTTGTTGGCGACAACATACAGTATACAAAAAAAAAAAAAAAAAAAAAAAAAAAAAAAAAAAGTATTAATTCTAAGAATTTTTTATTTTGAAGGCATAAACATTTTAATATGGTTTAAAATTTTGTAAAAAGCCAATAAATAAAGACAATAAATTTGTAAAAAGACATTAATTTAAGAATTTACTATGATGGTTCAAAATCCTGATTCGCCGGTTCGTATCACGTGACCCCAAGTAATCTCATCTCACGTAAACTACGCTACAAAAATCTAATTCTCTCAGTCATTATCTGCATTAACTTCAAGTTAAATCTTAATTTTGAATACAATTTAAGTGCAAGAATTATTTCAATTCGTACAAATAGTTTACTCAGAAATTATATAAAACCGCAGTGCTTTACTTCGCTAGTACATTCTCATTAGAATTGATGAATTTAACACTTGATTTTGCCTTTTCTATATTTTCGCCTTCGGGTGAGCGGTGTGATTGTATTCTAATTGACTTAATTACCGCGAATTGTTTTAGGGGATAAAATTTAACTATCTTGTAAAAATTCTATGTAATTGTATGCCAGTATTGAAAGAAACAATCAATTGGTAAGAAATGGCTGCGACTTTTGTTTTGAAATTGAGGCGTAAAAAGTTACTAGCGAAGATATTCCGTTTGGCATCAGTTGTACCATTATTGGCAACTTTATCGTTTGCGCCGGCAAAACAGAAAAGTACCGAATTTCCGATAGACAATCTCGAGCGCTGAAGATAAAAATGTTTTATTTCTTACAGTGTTGCCACTGCTTGCTTTGAAATCGCTGTGTTTTTTTAATCAAAACGTCTTAAAGTATTTAATAAAACAAAATCGAAATTTAAAATTCGGGCTTCCAGGTGCCCATGTTCGGGTGGAGGGCTACGTTATTCAGAATTTGATGGCTGTATCATTGATTTTCATAATGCGAGAAACGTACATATATTCATGCGGTTTCTTTATTATTTGATTTCTTTAAGTATAATATAGGACGATAATATTTCGTGATAACAGTTTGAAACGTTCAACGTTTTTAGTGATTCGAGGCAAAATACCGTTTCGAGACTAATAGCTCTTTTGACCTATCGCCCCTTTTGGCTAAAAACAAATGAAACCGAACAAAAATGAAAACAAAATGTGAAAAAATACTTTATTCTTATTTACAAATGTGGAATTCATGCACGGATAACTTAATAATATGAATTTGTTTATGACAATAAACGTAATTAAACACGAACTGCACACAAAGGAATCAGAAGAGTTAATGCAAATTTTTTATGATACATACACTGTTAATAAGATATTTATACCAATAATAAATTAAGCTAGTCAACCTTTCCTTCACAAAGAATTACAGTAAAGCTAGAAGGACTTCACATGGAACTATGTTATTAAATTTTTTTCTGATATTGCACTAACCACGATGAAAAGTAATTGAATTCAAATGAAAAATAATAAAAAAGTAACAAGAGCCCCATTTACTACAATGCCAGATTTTCTTGTGAATGTATGAAATACATCCAGTCCTTTCTGGATGTATAAAATAGTGCTATGTAAATTCTGGTATGTTTACTCTCGTCAAACCTTTAACTTTGCATGATTATTGCCTTGCCTGGTGATAGCAAAGAATAATAAATAGGCTAGTTTTAAATACACATATTTTTTATTCACGGAACACTGAATTCTTTAAAGTTTGACTCAGTTTTAGGAACTAAGTGGTTCACTTTCTGTTTTTTCAAATTGCTGTAAATCTTTGATACATTTACGAAAGAAATTTGTGTGAATGAAAATCATAGTTTAAAACCCGCGTTCTTCAAAAGTAATTACATATTATTCCAAAAAGTAATAGGAAAGCTTGCGTACGAACGAAAGTATTACTGAAAAGAAGTTCTCCCTAAAAGATAAATTTCCTCGAATAAAAATCTTTACGAATAATCATATTTTGACTGAAAAGAGAATGATTGTAATTTTGAAATACTTCCTCACATTCAGTTATCTTATTTCAAGAATTTTATTTGTATTTTTACTCAGACTTTTTCCAAACAGAATTCCAAATTTTATATTCTAAAGTTAGAAACTTTTAGGTTAAACTTCAGCTTTCAATAACATTTCTATTCTGCGTTAAACTTATTCTATTACAATGTCTGAATGTTTTCCCATTTTACATTAAGAGAAATAGCTTGGAGACTTCTAATCGTAATAAAACTCCTTCTTGGTAATACCGTGAATCGCAAGAATTTAATAATGTCCATACGGTTTGGAATATTCACGTTAAGGCATTTTCAGGTAATCTCTGCACTGCTGCCAGATTTTAAATTAAATTTTCTACGCGACTGTGAACGAACAGATTTTACACTCCTAAAACTAAACACATTCTTAAAATGTGTTTTTTAAGACCTCAGATGGCATTATTGTTTTCATTTAAAGAATTTTTGTCTCTTATAAATAAGAAAGTATCTGATATGGACACCATGTGACTTCGTTGTATGGCCTATTAAATTAGACACATTTTTTTGCTGCATTTCATTTAAACTTATTTCCACGAATTTCATAAGAGATCTATTTCTCATTCAATTAATTCAGTTCTCACTTCCCGGCAAGGCAAAAATACATAAAAACTCAAAAAATCTGCATTAAAATTTGAAAAATATAGAAAAACATAAAAATACCAAATACAGTTAAACAGTTAAAAAATATTTACAATGAAAATTAGAGTTTCTACGCAAAAACGAGGAATTCGGCCGGCGGCAAGAAGGCAGATTTTTCAGTGCATAAAACTGAGAGTTTACTTTCGGCCCTACTCGGCAAAAACACACTGAAGGTGCAGAAACAGACTTCATTCACTATTCTATTGAGTTTCAAATGTAAACAAATGGCGGTTCATTAGGCTTAACTCGCCACTTTTAAATTCTTGATAATTCTACAATTATTGCGTGCAGATTAACTAAAGGCATAAGACCCTTAACCGGAATATAAAAGCCACATAATTCAATCATTTTTAAAGCAAAAATGCACAATATACCAATATATGAGAATAAAAAGACTAAGTTCACCGAACCAGGTTACAGAGTGGGATACAGTTGGTGCGGCCGACTGCAAGAAAAAAGAGGTGCACAACTACATGTTGTAGAAGTCCCATATAATACAAAATTTCAATATTCTACGGCTACTCGTTCTTGAGTTATGCGGGATACATTCATATGTACGTACGTTGAGACGTGAAGAAAATATAACTTTTCAATCCATTTTACAATCTTTTTTGGCAAAAATAGGCCTTTGTTCTGTCTGTAAGTACAGATGTCACGCAAAAACATAGTTCAAATTGTTTCGAGATCGGTTGAAATGGATATTTTCGTTGAAATATGATAGCTGAAATTTTTTCTCGATTGCAATACTCC